GAAACTTTTTTCTAAGTAAATTCTGGGGCTCTGATACCTGCCAGCAGGTGGCCAGGCTTGGGGGAGAACAAACTCCGAGAGATATGATAAGTGCAATTGCTGGATTGAGTTTGACTTGCTGAGGACTAATGGTTGTTACCACTTTCTTGGGACTCATAACTGGGTTTGAGTTCTGGCTCCACCAGTCATTTATTTATATGGGGTCAGGGTGAACTACTCTCAGGCGTAGATTCACATATTTGAATAGGGAGGTGACCACAATAATGGAAACAATGGTTGATGAGTAAATAGCTTAGTGTCTGTAGAACTCTCAGTAAAATTTATCTGTAGGGTTATTCCCCAGGAGGCTCCTGGAACATTCTGGACACATTCACATAGAAGTTAGCAAAAACCACCTCACCTCCTTTAGAGAAAGAGGTGATCAGTAGTTAATTCTGAAACAAAGCTGTCTACTTTCAGAGCTTATAAAACATCTCTGGCTCTTGGCATAGGGTGTCTGAGGAAGATTAAAGGATTAAGGGTCCAACCAAAGCTCTTTAAATTATGAGTTACAATGTCTACAAAATTAAAGACCTGTGAACTCTAGGAAATTTCAAAAGTTGGCATGATGAGTATATATATATATAAATTTCCATCGACAAAGAGGCCAAAAATATACATGGGAGGGATTTTCCATTCACAACATGTTTTTAATGTCAGTACTTTGCTTTTGTTCCATGACAGCGGGTCAAAGAGAGTGGTGATAATGTTGAACACTAGGTTGTTAAAGTTGAGGAAATATGAGGTAAAAGGGAAGGAAACAGAGCAAAGATTAGAAGGCTTAGGGCATAACTGGAAAAAATATCTGGTCACCAGGGTCAGATTCAGATAGCTATACAGACTTTCTTTTTCCTCAAAGAAATCGAAAGGCATGTACAGCTTTTATGATAGGGGAGGCCACTGCTGTCTTCTGAGATAAGTAGAATTATCACCTATAGTTTTCCAGAGGCTCATCCCATCACACTTTGAGGGGATTTTCCTCTTTGGAATTCAGCCTTCATCCGTTTCCCACATGTTAAAGGTGTCTGAACTGGTCCACCGTTACATGCAAGGTGATTCCCAGAAATCTTCTCAGAGTGAGAAGGTGTTTGAATTATAATCTTCCTCTCTGAGGTTTTGGCAGAGTGTGTAGCCTGGAGTTCACAATCATTTCCAGGTAGTCCTGGGATTCACTGCTCTGAGACTGTGCAAACAGCTTTCACTTCATCTCCCACTCAGTCTTTTTAGAAGCAGGTCCTCAGCTCACCTGGATCTCAGAAGGTGCAGCCCTCCTCCCACAGTCAGAGCTCTCACCTGAACAGCTCAGAGAAGCATCCATTTACTTCTCTGGGATGGCAATCAGTGGGAATGACCTGACTGCTACCTCTAACTTCATTCTTGTCTCTCCCAGGGCTGAAATTTGAACTCTTCTGTTGTCAGGCAGAGCTGTGCTACCACGCGCTGACCTTTTCTGAGAACCATGAAAAGTGATATGTGCACAGCTACTCTGTGGAATCAATAGACACTGATGCCAGCTGGTGGTTTCTCCACCATCGTGGCTTGTCACTTACAGATGCCATCTAAGGTTCTGCATTTGCTCAGTTGAGCCGGACTTCAGGAGACAATGCAGTGAAGCTGAAAGAACAGCAGGGTTTAGTTAGAAAGCTGGGGTTCAAAGCCCGCTCTTCTAATCTCTTAGACATCAGCTGAGTCACTCACCGTCCTTGATCCTTAGTACGTCATCACTCGCAGTTTGAGAATTAGATGAGACACCATTGACAAATCCCCATCACATATGAGACGTATCAGCAGCCTTCACTATTTATTATTTTTGTGTGCCTGTGTTTTATCACCACAAATGGACGGTGTATTCAGAGCCAGCTGAGTATTTTTGACCTACTTTCTACTTTTCAAATTGAAGTGGCTTCAGAATGGAGGGTTGTGCCTTGGACAAACTGGGTATTTTTTTTCCTAGAGGAAAGTGTGGCTGGTACTTGGGTTGGCAGGGCATTTTCTAGGGAAGCATGGCTGTACATCCACAGAAACCCAGGGAGAGGAACAGAGAGGTATTCTTAGTTCATTGTAAGCATTAGAAAGGCTAGGATTAAGGAGGATATGTTTTTCATTCTGTCAGCTTGAATTCCCTTTCCAAATTCCATTCTGGTTATATGATCAGGCTACTCCTGTATTTATGGGTGGCCACAGCCTGCCTGGAGGGCATATTTAGTCAGAAAGGAAGTGTTTTCCCTCTGAAGGCAATGGGAGAAGCAGAAGCATTCAGAGTGCACACAGAAGAATGTGCCTCGGATTTGGTGATCATAGAGACCTGGGTCTGAAACCTGGTCCCATCACTCTGTGTGTTAAGAGCCTGGACAAGGGACTCAATCTCCCCTTTTCTCTGTGGGTACAGAAGTCCATGCCTTGGAAATGTGCTGTGGATGTTTAGTGAGATGACCACAAGTGATCGTAGCTCAGAGAGTAGCTTTATCATATGTGCTGGCTCTGGATATCATTAAAATTATTTAAAATGATGAGCCTTTGTTAAATCCATTACCCCACCTCCCTATTTGTGTCTGTAGCAGTATATGATCTCCTGCCTATTACAGACTACTCAGAGGATGAATTCCTTGCTAAGTGCAGAATTGTGGCCTGAACATACACTGCTGGCTGTGAAATTTGTGGCTGTGCTTTGTATAGGTCAGGATCCAGGGAAGATACCCTGGAGCAAAATATCCCTCACCCCAGTTTGAGGCTTAGAATTTCTTTCCGCATTTCAGCCAAAGTAGCCTCACATTTTTCGGTCAAAAATATTGAGGTTTTGCCCGAAATTCATTGAATAAATATTTCCATTGTAAAAAATAAATTTAAAAATCAATGGTTTAGTACACTAATACTGAACTTATAAATTGATAAGCAGAAAAACTAAGATAAGCTTCCATTATTGAAACTTTTACTATGTGCAAGGCATTGTGCTAAGACCTGGTCATATATTATCTCTATTGAGCATCACCAGAGCCCTAGGCAATGCTGATTGTCACCCTCTTTATATGAATGAGGCAGCCAAGGACTGGGAGATTAGTAACCTCTTGGGGGAGGAGTTCTTTACACATGAGATAGGGAGGCTAGGTTTTAGAACAAAGCATAGAGAATAAAATAATTACAATGAGCTTGGCAATGCCTTTTTCCAACCTCATTCCATTTACACTGTTTGAACAAATCACAGAATATTTGTAGTGTGCACCCCTTTCATTCCTTAAGTGCAGTTACTTTCTTGCATAGGGGCAAGGCCCACTAACTTGCAACATGCAAAGAGTACACACACACACACACACACACACACACACACACACATACAAACACATCATGCCAGCAAAACTCCCATGAGTTTATTCTGGACTGAACCTAATTTTCCCTAGCCCTGAACTTGGCTCGTCCTGTCTCAGGACAAGGCGGGAAACTGGCTGTGGTGGGCAACGGTTTTCATTTCTAAAGCACATATGATAAAGCTCTATTAAAAAGGGGGAAAAAGGTCCACCAGAACAAGAAAAAGAGGCATTCATTTTTCCAACCGGCTCCCTGTCCTATGCTCCCTCTTATTGAAAAGCATTTCCAAGGAATCCCCAGTAGCACCCTATACTTTATAGCCAGCAGCTTTAGAACCCTCAGATGCTTAAACTCAAAATCTCATGACATTCTGTAATCACAATTCAACATTTACATCCAGCCCCAGGCTGCTACCTTCTCTCCCAACCTGTGCCAACACAACCTACTGCTTGTGAACTGCAGCCAAGTCTCCAACCTGCCAGCCTAGCGAGACACTCTCAGACTGGGTGGGATAACAAGGCCAGGGGCTGGGCTGGGATGAGAGGAACACACAGGAAAGAATCCAAGATTGGCTCAGCGCCCTTTTTAACTTCCAGGGTAATGGCACATTTTAGCAATGACAGTGATTATCCAAGCTTCCAGTCATTGAACACTCACTGCTAATCTCCTTCAACCTCATTTTCTCCTCATTACAATGGCAGTTTCTGTCCCCAGTTTAGATAAATAGAAACCGAGGCCCCAAGAAGTGACAGATTTTTCTTGGACTATGTGTGGTGTGGTGATGGGAATACCAAAGGCATCTCTGGCTTTGAAATCTGATCTCTTAGTCCTCTACTACACTGAGGGGCTAGGGAAACCTCGTGTTCTTCCCAAAAATCTGTCAGAGGAGGTGGGCTTCCTGTAAGCGGAGGAAACTGTTCTCTGGAGTCTGGGTGGGGAAAGATGACTGTAGAGAGATACCTGAGAGCTGATTCAGAAGAGATCCTGCTGGCTCTAAGCATCCCAAACATGCACGGGTCCCACCTGGGGATCAGTGAATCAGGATGTATCCGGGATACTTCTCTCTGCCTGGAATAATGGAAAGACGCACCCAGCGCTCTCCTGCCACTCCTCTGGCCTTACACTCACCTCCTGTCCTCTGTGCCCTAAAACGTATCTCTTTCCACAGGGTGGACATTGGATGAGGGGATGGTACAAAACTCTGTAAATGTCAGGGCCATTTTGATGTATAATTTCGTCTTTTCTACTCAGTCCTCTATGAGTCTCCCCTCTACCCATCCCTAAACGAGAAACCTCCGCTTTCAAACTGAACTTGCCCAGCATTCAAAGACTAAAAAATATCCACAGGTGAATCAACCAGGCAGGGGCTTTAGACAAAATTCTAAAGAACGGCAGAGACAAAAACTTTACAAAAACTCCTTCCAGTGTGATGATTCCTAGAGCTAGAATAAACAGAAAGAAATAGAAGATCAAAGGAGTGCAAGCAAAGCAGGAACGGGCAAGGTGCACGCACAGTACTGTGATCATCTGATAGGTAACCCCTTTTGGCCAGCGACGAAAATAAAGCCAAAGTTGTATAATGATAAAACAACCCACTTAGAACTAGGAAACGCCAGTACATCATAATGATCGTGATGACTGGCTCGGAATAGACTTACCTATTCCTAGTGGGAGAGACCTAGGACGAGGCGCCCACAGGCTCCATGCAGCGGACCCGGCGGGGAGCAGTGGCGGGTTCCCACGTGCACGGTCTCGGGGTCCCAGCCGCGCTGTCTTTGTGCAGCCCGGAGGCAGAGGCGTGTGTGTCCGCGTGTGACAGTAGGCAGGCGGTGGCCAGAGCAGCCAGCTTTGACTGGCTTATATAGCGAGCTCCTCGCTCTGTAATGGGACGCCTCGCCTCCAGACATCCTTCCCCACTTTTTCAGTTGGTGAATTAAAGGAACACCCCTCCCAGCGGAACCCGGTTAGCTCATGCTAGACGCAGTCACTCCAGGCTCCGGGCCAGGGAAGGAACTCATTTGCATACAATTTATGGCGAAAGTAGGAATTCCCGCTTCCTCAGCCGCCCTCCAACACAGAGTAGCTGTTAGTGAAGTGTGACTTTTGCATTGCTCCCCAAACGGGGTTTGTAATTGTGAAACAGAAGCCAGGGTAGCCAGAGGGAGCAGGGTCCTGGCTTCGCTCCTCTGCTCCAGCCGGTTGGAAACGCTACCCGAGCTCGCTGGGGCTCTGGGCAGCAGCTGCTCGGTGACACCTCAGAGAAAGCACAGGGGCTGAGCCAGTTCCTGGAAAGAGGAGATAAAGGCTCTTAAAAGCTCTGGGTGGTTTATATTTCTCTGGGCCAGCAGGCTGATAACTCAGGATTATTCTCAGCTGGTGGGTACCGTGCTGGGAGGGCAGATCAGCCCCTTTTGCTTCAGTGGGAGCCTGGAGGAATCATTATCACGGCCCCAATGTCCTCCAGGGAGAGGCTCTGGGCTTGTGCCTGCCCTGCATCAAGGGCCTTCTTCTCAGCTGCATCTCCCGGGGAAGGGTCCCCGAACTTTCCTCTCAGTACTGAAGCAAGTCCACCTCAGCCTCTTCTTTAAAGAAAAACGATAAAATTTTTTTTTAAAGTTAATAACTTAATCCAGGAGCAAGAGCTGTGCCTTTACCCTGCAGCCGGCTGTGGATCAGATCCAAGCTCTGAGTCATCTGCTGGTTTGGTGCTTAGCATGCACTGAGTGTCCCCAGGGCCTGTGGGGGCTTTGGAAGAAGGGGGAAGTGGCAGCCGCCTGTGCTGGAGGGACTCCTGGGCTTGATGCAGCCCAAGGTGTGAAGGAGCAGGGAAAGGAAGCGCCAGGTAACTTGTAGCCAGCACTGAGCCAGCCCTCCTTTGTTAAGTCTGTGTTAAGTGCCCTCAGGGTACTTTGTGAACACTTTCATTATGTCCTTGCATTACCAAATAGGATAAGTGCAAGTGTCCCCCTTTTACAGATGAAGAAACTGAAGTAAGTTTAGAGAACTAATGTAATTTCACCAAGGGACTACACCTGGGAAGCATCTGAATTACACCTGGCTCCATGTTTTTTTTTTTTTTTTCCGTGATATTTTACTGTCCAGGAAGAGTACATGATGCTATTTATATGATACTTTAAGCCCTATTAAATTGCTATGCCATTTGTACAGAAATCATTACCATTATGGAAAATGTTTTTTTGTTCTGTAGAATAATTGCAGGTGGTCTTTGACTTTTTATTGACTATAATAATAGAGGTTTCTAAATTGACCTTTTTTTAATACTAAACATAATTTGCATAGCATTTATTATTGCTAAGGGCCTCAGCCACCCCATCTGAAAAAAATCAAGACAAGTTTATGTCATCCTAATGGTAGCTCTGGCTCTGGAGTTCTAAAAATCTCTGCTCAACTGATGCTCCCAGATCCAAGAAAGCCCATAAATAGTCATGTCATAAAACAGCTCATTTGAACTTTTAAACCATTTTGGCTGATTAAAAAGTTGGTTGTTGTAGAAATTTTTAATTCTGTGTTTTAGCCAAGGCATATTTCAGTAGCAGGAGGCTGTGTCTTTCAACTCAGAGTGAAAGCTCCCATGCCTCTTGGCTTTCCTAAATCTACCGAACTCATCTCCTGTGTCAGCAAATAAAATATTAATAGTAGTCTATATGTTCTATGGCACATAAACTACATTTATATCAAATACATAATCATATATATATTTATATATATACAAATGATTACATGTATGTATTTAAATAAGACAAGAGAGCATGCTAGAAAACTGAATGATAAATATAGCTTCTTTCAGGAATGTTCCTAACCTGAACCTTGCCCCAGTCCTCTTAGTGTTCTGCAGTCATTAATATAGGCCTTCAGCAGGTGGCTTAGCCAACTGTGGGAAAACAATGCTAACCAGGCTGGTCTTCAGGGCAGGGAATGGCCTAGTGGTGTTAACAAACAAGACTACACTACACGTTAATTAAACAGCTATCATGGAAGCACATTATTACAGTATCAGAAAGGAATGACTAGCTTTATTTGTGTATCATTAGAATGGGCCACTGGTAAAAGAAGTTTTCTCCAAAAGCCACTCAGCATCTTCAGGCACACCTTGGTACTAGAGAGTAAGGAGTGCTCAGACAAGGACTTGTTTTCTATCCCTGGACTTCTTATAGCCTCTGTTATGGACAAATGGATCCATACACAACTCGTGTTCTCTAACACCCGAGTGTTTGCTTATGCTCTGTGCCACTTCGAATTCTCACTTCTGTCTCCTCACTTCAATTTACCATCGTGTTCTGATCCAACTTCACCATGGAGCTTCTTAAGTAGATTTCTTCCACAAGCAAAGTTACTGTGTACATTTCTTTGTTTTTCTTTTGGTACCGGGGATCTAACTTGGGTCCTTGCGCTTGCAAGGCAGGCCACCAAACCGCTGAGCTAAATCCCCGGCCCTATTGTGCACATTTCTTAACTCTGTGGGTATAATTATGCATATGTATGTCTAGATTTTTCTCTGAGACTCAAGGTTTTCTGCAATCAGGGTTCACAACTGTTTTTCTATGCCTAGTACAGAACCTTGAGCATTATGCAAGTTTAGGAAATGTTTATTGAATGCAGAAAATAATGAACAAAGGAATGTCTGATGTTCTGTGCTGTAGAACTTCAGGTTGCCCATTTCACCCATATAAACTGAGGAGGAATCCGGGTTATCATACCCAACACATTCATTACACAGATGAGGAAATGGCCCCAGGGAGGCGGAGTGACTTATCAGAGACCACCATGGCTACTGTGATGCAGGTAATCATTACAGTCAGAGCTGAGCAACCAAATCCCAGCAGATCTTGGAGCAGAAGATGTTTGTGGAAGTTAGTAACCATTCATCCTCTTGTTTAGCAGATGTTGCCACACCTTTTGGCATCTGGATCTAGCATAGTTGTATCCTTTTCACTACTGTAAGCACTTTTTTTTTCCAAGTGAGAGGGCACAATGAATGCTTGTAAACACTTCCTCTGCACAGAGCTCCTGGCCAGGGACTGACTTTGTTGCTGCTTGTTTGCAGTCCTCATTCATGAGTTGCTGGTGGAGATTGTGGCTTGGAAGACAGAGAGAAAATGGAGGTTGTATCAGGTGAAATCATTCTCATTTCCTTAAAGGTCTTTTAAATATCATACATTACTTTTCCCCAGATGGGCCAGATAACAAGTAGAATATTAGTTGGCACTATCCTCTTCTGAGGAAGTCAAATGCCCACTTCCCCATGGCATTGCCCACTGCCCATTCTAATTATGCACTCCATCACTATTCCTAGTTCCTTCTCTCCTTGGGATTCATCTAGTGTGTGAACACCCATCCAAAGTTCCATGTGACTCTGTAGTTTCCAGAAATCTCTCCCAAAGCAGTGAAGAAGTTCAGATCTGACACATGTGTCAGTCATTAACTTAGACATGTTGGCTTGGAGCCAGGATTTCTCAAGTTGTCTTCAGGTCTTTGTTGAGTGCTCTTCTTTTCCATCTCTTCTCACTTTTCCATAGACAACAAAGGGCCAAACAACTTCGCTGAAGCAGAGGTAGGACAGAAGGGAGCTTCCTCTCCTGATAGAAAGAGTAAGTCAGCTGCCCCATCAGCCAGGGAAGTCAACTATTTGGCCAGCATGGCACAGTAGAATAATAGCTGGGCTGAGAATGGGTTCAAGTCTTGGTATTATGTCAACTGATCACATGACTTTAGGCAAACCCCACAGCTCTCCTGGTCTCTCCATCCTAGATATCAAATGAACATTTTTTTGTTTTAGATTTTTAAGTCAAAGTCTTTCTATGTAACTCGAGATGACCTTCAGCTTGCTATATAGCCCACCCTAGCTTCAAACTCACAACCCTCTTGCCTCTGCCTTCTGAGTACTGAGCTTACAGAGATGCACCACCATGCCCAGTTTTTAAGGATTTTAGAAGCTCAAAATTTTTACCTTAAAAACTCAAATGATGGGCTGGGGTTTTAGCCCAGTGGTGCTGCTGTCTGCTTCATAAGCACAAGGTCCTGAGTTCAGTCCCCGGTACTGAAACAAAACAAAACAAAACAAAACAAACCAAGCAAAACAATAAAACAAAACAAAAACAAAAACAAATAAGAAAACCCTCAAGTAAATAAGTTAGAAGCCTGTGAGCCTTTACATGTTCAATTTCCTAGAATGAGCAACACTTTATCAACATGACAAAGAACCGTTTTTTTTCAAGATTTACTTCATGGTACTTACTACTGTCAAGGAAGTTCTCATGACTGTCACATCCAGTGAGAAGGGCCCCATCTCCATGCTTATCTACATTACCATTTTTCATTTTTGGTACATTGCACACAGTACTTCCCTTGTCTGTTTGCTCCGCCAGACCGTAGACACCTAAGGGGAGGCCCTGTGCCTTGACATCTGCTTATTGGCAGATCTGGTTATAGCTAGCTTCAGTTTATAGCTAATGTCTATGCCATGTTATTTGTTAATTATTTGGGTTATCATTCATGCATATCACAGCCTTAGAAAAGCATATGACCTACAGTAGGTTTTGGAGGTAAACAATCAAGACATTCTTGAAATGACATATTAGATGATTCCAGACCTTTGTTGTTGTCATTGAGGGCCAAGACTGTACCATGCCAAAAATGTGAACATGTCAGCTCCCGTGGAAGGACTGGCAGACTGACTGGTTGGCTGCATGAAAGAGAGAGCAGAGAAGGCATAAGGTTGGCACAAGTGGCCTTGGGTTCCTTTTGGCTCTTCCACTTACAGGGTGAATTATTTTGAAGAAACAAGTTCCTTCTTTAAAGATGAGTTTAGTCATTTATGAATCAAGGATAGAAATCCATACTTTGAATTTCCTCCCAGAGCTGGTGTGAAGACCATGTAAGAGAGTGGAAGTAAAAATTCTCTGCAAGCTGATGCTTCAGAGCTAGAGCATCTAGTGCTTTTTGATGTTAAATGAAGTTTTCTTTCCCCAAAATGCATCTCCATAGAAAGCTCACACTTTGCATAGTTATATTGTGCCTGTGAAATCATGAGTCCCAGCTTCTGTGTGAAACATTCCTGGAATC